CAAGGTGGCTTTGGAGTGGGGCGTAGACTTCAGGGTTGAGAACTCATATAGGACATAGGATTACAGTGTAGAATATCGACTGCGCACTGGTTTTTTTTCGAACTGGTTATGGGATTGGGCTCCCGAGAAGATTCTGAACATCGAGGTGCAAGTTCCCGAATTCCAAGACGCATGACTCGTTGCTGATTCGCACACGTCAGTGCCAGCCACAATACACTGCTTTCCATAAACATCGTTGCTCCTGGGAAGTGCACCCCTCGAGCACCCCAAGAAAGGACGACTTGCAAAATGAGTGCTGAGCTGACACTCACTACGCTTGATTCCGGCAAATTTCAGTTCACTATATATTTAGAAATCGTAGGTCTTAGGTTGTTGTATATTCCATTCTGTTATATTATACTATGCTCCCTTACACGGTCGGTCCGCAGTATCATGTTACATCGTACTTGTTTTAGTACATGGTTTTGTGTTCGTTGCAGCTGAATATGTATCATTTGATAATCGTGTATTATTGGATGCTGCTATTTCTGTGCGCATTATACCAATTCATCTTGTGTGAGTTGCGTTATATAAACTGTTGTGTGTGATATGGTAGTCCGTGTGAAGTTGTCATTTCTTATGTTACACTGTGACATATTGCAATATTCAAAAATTTTCGAACTATCCCACATGACAATATGTTACTATACTGTGTCATCTCAGAGAGTGCTATAGTTTTCTCTATTCTTAACTCTATCATTTTATCTTTGTTACTTTGTATTCGCTTGTTGTCTTATCTTTTAGTCGAACATATTATATCGCATCATCCATGTTATGTGTTGGTCAGCTAAGTTGCGTTATATCACTCTACAGTGTTATTCTATACTTGATTATAGTATGTCGTATTTGTAATGTTATATGTCATAATGTAACATAACATACTATACTATAGTGTACTACGTTATATTATGTCATGTTATATTATAGTATACTACATACGTGATTATGTACTATATATTAAACTTACAACATGTTAGTTTATACGGTATAATTCTTGTGTTATAGCGGGTTCTCCTATATCCGATATTTTACATCATTTATATTTTGATGGATACCTTTTTTAAACATATTATAGTTTTAACGTGTTGTGTTCTATTACATTACATTATGTTATATTATAGTATTGTTGTAGTGTACTATATTTTGTTCTGTAATAGCTAACATCTTTCTTATATTGTGTTACATTCTATTATGTTCTGTTGTACCATATCGTACTGTGTCATATGGTGTTCTAGAAGTTCGCTTGAATGTTGCTGCCCATTATGCTAAAGCATATCATACTAGATTATATACTTGATCCGTTGTTTCATATTGTTCTAGACTTTCCAAGAGTATAGGAAAGCATATTGCATCATGTTGTGTTATAATACATTATAATGTATTACAGTATACTATACCATAATATGTTGGGTACCGCCTCCCACTCAGTAACAGTTGAGTAATGCACATAATATGGATATACAAGGCCCTTAATTGTAGCCTTATGATAGACTGTTACTGTATGGGGGCAGTACCCAAATATTATGCTACAATATAAATATTTTGTATTTTATTATACTGTCTTGTGTTAAGGTCTGCCAAGCCGTTGAATCTTGAAGTAAATCCGAACGTTGAACTCAAGAAACGCCTACAGTATAGCAGCTAAACCTAAAACCCTTAAACACTAAACCCGAGGCACCCTAAACACACGCTGAAGGACCTTCGTAAGTTTTTACACAGCGGCCTGGTTCTTCGGCCAATATGTCCTTAGTAAAGTTGTTCGACGATAACAGGCCCTCCCCAACACCCCCTTCAAATCATTCAGGCCCACACATTCCGCTCCTAAACTTTCCTGAAGCCTTCGAAGCGCTGAAATCGAAGCTGCATAGCCGCTTAGCCTTTGCCAGCTGACTGCAATTCCAGGATTGTCAGGCCTGCACCTACACCCTGAACCACAAATTCTTTAGCCGAAACCCCGAAACGCCCAAACCCCAAAAACCCACGCGAACAAGCTCTAGAACCTCTGAAACCCTTGTAGAGCCCTTACCACCAGCCCTGCTTAAGCTCTTAATACCGAAAGGACCCTTACCGACAGACCTCTCATGGAAATCTTTCTCAAAGCACTTCTAGAGCCCATCAACGAATCCTTATAGAAGCCATTTTGAAACCTTCAGAAAATCCTGGAGCCCATCAACGAATCCTTATGGAAGCGATTTTGAAACCTCCAGAAAACCCTAGTTTTCCTTAGCAGGACCCCGGGTTCTTGTAGAAAGAGCGAAGATCAGGCCGCCCCCGAGCAGATCTGGGCCAGCCCCGGCTGGGTCCTCGCAGACATCCCCTAGGTAGGCCTTTGGGTCATTTTGTATCTTCCCTTATTGGTCTTAAGAGGATCTTATTTACGAATATTTTTCAGAGGCTTTGAGGGGCCAACCTGGTCTCCTTCTTAGAGTTCAGGTCTTTAGGGGCCCATTTCAAATCGTTGAAAAGGGCGTAGGGGTTTGGACCGCGCAGGAATGCTTAGGACTTATAGTGTTCGGCTTGCATGTTGACTTTGGCGAGGTTAGGCAGTTTGGCTGTAGCCTTCTAGCCTCAACCCTGCAACTTTTGAGGGTTACAGTGGATGGAGGAAATCTTGCACCGTCCAGATGTTGACTCATATTATCGGATCACCAAAAACCCCGGACACCCTGTTTAATATTGATGATGTGTGCCATGTGGCTGGTGCAAGATTTTTGTCAGTGGAACCCACGGCCCTTCCCAGGACAGGACCTCAATGTTAACAGGGGGTGCAGGGTACTGGCATTGTTGGTCTACTCAGCTGGTGCAAGTTTTCGTCCATCAACAGTAGCAGTTTGGAGATTGAGGATGCAGGGTTTAGGGTTTGGGGTTTAGGGTGTGTTTAGGGTTAAACCAATGGGTTTCAACTGAGACTAAAAGCAGAACGGTGCTTCTAACGCAGGCAAACAGGATGGCTCTACGCAGCTTTAGTATGGGGTCGTGATCATTAGTAGGAATAAGGTTTCCCCAAAACGTCGAAAAGTACAGCGGTACAGCAGAAGGCTATACGTCAAAAAGTCGAACACGGCCGACAGCGTTAAAAATCCATAGCCAGCGAAGAAGGGGAAAGCTCAACAAGCCTGGTCAAACATCACTGAGACAAGCGCTTCCGGGGAGTTCGCCTAACCCGAAGACCCAGCTCGGCCCAAAGCATCTATGTTGGGGATACTTATTTCTTGGATGAACCCGGCATTGTTTCAAACTCAGCCAGACTTGACAATTGGTGGTTCCCATAGGTCCAATTTGGTGCTGTTGGAACCAGGGGATGCTCAAAAATCACTGCACGTTGCCTTTATTTAAGGGTTCCGGAAACAGAGAAACCAAACATGCACATGGTGTGGTTTCGTTCATTTCAGGCGAACCGAGGATGGGCAAACCTATGAAAAACCAGCTGGGAATTTCACGCGCGCGCAAGGTTCTTGGTTGGCTCCTCAGGCCTGCAAAACAAATCCACATGTGAGTTTCTTTGTCACTCTTTGGTGCCTTCGGGCACACGAAATGCTCAATGTCATTGAAGCTTGCCTTTAAGCTCCCCAAAACCGAAAACAACACACCCAAAAACGGATGGCTCCGTTCGTTTCAGTTTCAAACAACTGAAATTTGCGAGTCGGCTGTTCCCAAGCCTGTTGCAAATCAACCGAAGTATCCCAACACCGAGCAATAGAAAACTGCATATGTTTCTGCTACTTCTGGATGCGTTGCAATAACAAGATGAAAAATCAAAAAACCAGAGAGCCCAAGACCCCTTAATTAAGAAATATACCTTAAATCATAAATCCAAAAAAGAAAACAAGAAGCAGCTGGGTGGCTCCTAAGACCCGCACAACAAACCAAAAGTCCATAGTATGTTTTGGCTACTTTCTGTTGCTCGTCGGAAAAACCCCAAAAAATTCAAATAGAACTGAAAGAGCACACTTGAAGAGTTCAACTAATCCGAAAACTCAGCAAACAAAGATACGCATGGTTTGGCTAACTGCCACGACTAGTGACAGTACTACTACGACGACTGCCGACTAAACATGGACGAAGCCGAAAAGCACCGAACATTCGAAGAGCTCAGAAGCCGAAACGCCGAAACAGCAAAACGCACATAAAAAAGTGCGAAAGCGCAGAAACAATCGCAAAGCAGAAAATCCCGACAGTACCGAAAGGTCGAAAAGTGCAGACAAACGAGAAAAGCCGAAAACCACGACAAGCACCGACAAGTGCTAAAAGCACAGGAAGAATGCGAAAAGTCAAAAAGACTAAAACTTTGAATTTTCGACTTTTTGAACTGCAATTCGGTTCTCCGCTTATCGAAACCAACGCCTGCTCGCGCACTTAGCCTCTCCCCCCTCACCGGAGTTGCAGCCTGTGATCATGTTTCAGCTTTGTCCGAGTATAAGCCCAGGAAGTAGTAAGTATAGAATAGTAGGGATGGTGGGAATCTCGTTAATCCAATCATGCGCGTCACGAATTAGATGACTAGGCATGTGGCTACCTTAAGAGAGGGTTCTGGCTTTTGGCATTTGGGTTCTTAAAAAGCGCGGGGATGTTGGGGTATATTTTGGGGGTTGTAGACTCGTCCGGGCCTCAGGACTTGATTGGGCGGCATACCGCCTGCCATTTCGGAGGATTTTTTGGGTATTTGGGTTTTGGGGCTTAATTAGGGGTTTCAGGGTTCAGGGTTTTGGGTATTTGGGTTTTGGGGCTTGAGGGTTTCAGGGTTTTGGTTTTTGGGTAGTTGGGTTTGGGAGCTTAATTAGGGTCGGATCTCGCTCAACTGCATGGACAAATAGACGTCCACAGCCGCTAGCCGCGTGTGTTCCAGGCTCATCCTCAACCCTCAGCTTTAGCGCGAAGCTTTCGACAGGGTTGTGCTTTGCGTACTTATCAACTTTGTTCAGAAGGAGATTTGTTCAACGATTTTTTGCAACAGACGGGCCATGGCCGTCTTTTTTGCCAGTGCTGCTGCTGTTCTCTTCGTATTGAGCCACATCTACCTGACCGGAGTGGTAGTCGAAGGCGATGCAGATGCATCGGCTGCCGTGTTGCAGAAGGTGTCCGCGTTTTCCATGTCGTTTCGGGATCCAAGATTGGATGAAAAGGTCGAAGAGCTGACAATAGCGCTGAATGTCTGGGGCGCTCGATCTTTCATTCATGCTCAGCTATGTATCTTGGTCACGGTTGTCTTTCATGCCTGCCTGGCTCCAACCCTGTGCTCCCTGTCTCGGCTGCTACTCTTCGGCCTGCTGTATGCAAACAGCCATGAGATCAGGTTTAACAGCCACCGTCTGTCCCTTTGGAGGATACGCACGATGTATTTTTCAGTGATGGCGGTGATGTTCGTCCGCGCTTTGCTCGCAGCTTGGAGCGATGCACAGTACAGTGGCATCGACCAGCTGGACCTCTTGGTTGCAATTGGTTGTGGAGTGGCCTCCCTATCCGTCAAAATAGCCAGCATCCCCTTCGTGATGATATTTGTTGCTGACTCATGGGTCCAAAGCATGGTACAGGGCTCCGGCTGGTTTGATAACTTCCTGACCAATGGCTTCCGGTGCTTCACTTCAATCTGTCTCGTCATGCTAGTCGAACAGCTGGCTCGAGTCATGTTGATGTTTGAACTTGATGCGCAGGAAGCTCTCCAAGCTCTCAGAGATATCGTTCGATGCTCTGTGGATGCAGAGGTACTGCTTGACAGCCAGTTTCGGATTCGAGACCGGGTAACGAGTTTGGCGTTGCTCCTTCACCATTTGCATGACATGACGGGGATGTCCTTCCTGGACTTGCTTGCAGATGACGAAACCACCCATCAGTTCCTCGACCTGGCCCAGAAAAGCATCCAACAAGCCTCTGGTAAGCAGGTCGCTCCAGGGGCTCGCTTGAGCTTGAAAAGGTCCTCGGGTGGTCAGGCTCGAGGGGACGTCTACGTGGTCCATATTCCTGACAGGTTTGGGCAGGCAAGTCGCTACCTTATTGGCTTTGTCGAAGACCCCGAAGCCTCCGGCGTGCAGCCTTGTGATGCGCGCCTCCCTGTGGACCGCGCTGCGGTTGCAAAGTCGGCCCGTCGTTTTCGCCTGGCTTCCTCTGCCTCAGCATCATCCTCGCAATCTAGGAGGGACCGACCGATGTCGGTGACATCTTACAGGGAGATTGTTGACATTAGCTTATTCCTTGATGGGCAGACCGAGTGCTTCGATATCAAGGAAGCCAGGATCCGGTTTACACGGTTCCCGGATCGATCGGGGATGCCGACTCTTAAGCACATGTTGAATCCCTCGGAGTGGCAAGCAACGCTTCCGAAGTTACGCGAGGCCGTGTGGAGCGGGATTGGCACGGGTAGTGAATCCTTCCCACAAACCCTCGGTCCTTTGCATATTCGCCTTCCGGAGATCCTGGCAGCAGGCAACCAGTTTCTTCTTGCCAGAAGCTCGCAGCTAAGACTGGTGAAAGCGGCTAACATCAATCAAGAGGGCACGGACCTCTCGGCGCAGCCCATCTATCTCTGCCTGCAGCTCTACAACTTCGTGCAGCTGGACCGTCATGGCCGCCCTCTAGAGCTGGGGACCCTTTCTGAGTTCACTTCCGAAGGAAGGCCGATTCAGCGAGAAGCGCCTGAGCAGTGAAGAACAGCTCGGTATCCACTGCAAGGTGATATAGAAGCTTCAATAATTACCAAATATTATGCCAGAGGGCTACTTGCTACAAATCCAGCAAACTACACCCCAATGCCCTATTCTAAGCATGTGCTAACCCCCCTATGCTAGCCTGATGCCTCAAACAGAAGAAGTCTGCTCCAAACTAAACCCTAAACCCCTAAACCCTAAACCCGCCAAGCAGCACAGCCGAGGTCTTCAACGCAACCTTGGGCCCTGCCCCCTGGGAGATGAACCTCCAAGGCCCGGCAGGGTTTAGGGTTTTTAGGGTTTAGGGGGTTAGGGGTTACCTGGAACCCCAAAGCATGTAGAATAATAGCCTTTTAGAGGTTTTGGGCCATTGTTTTACCTAGTTTTAGGGGTTTGGGGTTTAGGGGCTAGGGGTTAGGATTTAGGGCTTAGGGGTTTAGAGCATTTAGGGGTTTAGGCTGTTAGGGGTTTAGGGGTTTAGAGTTTAGGGTTTAGGGCTTACGGTTTAGGCACGCAACTTGACATGGCGAAGTCCGGTCGTAAGGTTTAGGGCTGCAGGGTTGAGGTTTAGGGTTAGGGATTTGTTTAGGGTTTAAGGGTGCGGGGGGGCTTAGGGTTTGGAGGTGTAGGATTTAGGGTTTCGGGGTCAAGGGTCCAGGATTAGGGACTGGATTGGGGTCAGCTGTGCTGCCTCGTGAACTCTGACAGTTGTTTTTTTCCTGATTTTTAGGGCAGAGTTTCGGATCTAATATAGGGCTGAATGCTTAACAATAGTATTCAGTTGTCGTACGTTCACCCACTTACCACCACCGGAAGAATGCTATTCAGTGGGGTTCCTGAACATGGCTTACTGAAATATAGCAAAACAGCCTATTCCCAGCAACAAGGCGCTTAAATCAGGGTCCGTTCGTTTTTTGTTTTCGCGTTTAGGGCTTTCAGATTCTCCAACATAAAGCTTCAGCTTTGTGCCGTTTAGGGTTCAGGGTTTGGTGTTTAGGGTGGCTGTTAGACTGGATTATCAGGCGTGCTGGAGGCAGAAGAAGCTCCTGAAAGGGCCTTGCCATGTGCTTCGCACACATCTTTCCAACCTTAGACAACCCTATATCTCATGTAGATCAGATAGTTCCAAAGTACTTCCAAAGCGCTAAACCCTAAACCTTGTGCCTTCAACCCGGAACCCAAATCTTCGATCCCGACCTGTAGCAAAAAACACATACCTTTACGTAAAGGGTTCCTTAAATTGTTATGGTTTCTAAAAGGTAAGCCTATACAGAGGTAGGTTTTCTGAGCCACAAGCAAACCCTACACCCTGCATCCCGACTTCTTGGGGTGCCTTCAAGCGAGCAGGGCCTGCATCTGCCACCGCGGCTCCACGCATGGCGACCGGTTCGCGAACCTCGACGAAGAATCTGAAATGGGGACATTCGGGCACAGAGTTTGGAGTCTAAAAATTTAGGGTTAAGGCATGTGAGCATCATCATCATCATCGCAATCATCTTCATCTCCATGTTCATCATCATCAGCATCATCATCATCATCATCACCTACTTATTCTGCCTCTTATTATTCTTCTTCATGTTGTTATTGTGATGATTAGTCTTATGATTCATCTTCATCTTCAGCACCACCAGCAACATCAGCATTAGCATCATCTTCATCATTGTCATAGCCAGCATCAGCATCTGCATCAGCATCGGCACTTTCATCATTGTCAATCATCATCATCATCATCATCATCGCCAGAACATCACCATCATCATCGCCATCGTCATCACACTCCAGCAGGTGAAGCGAAAAGAGCCAGTTTGGATGGCCCAAATCTCACAGTCTTGGCTGCAACCCTGCATTTTGCCAGTAATTCTCAGGCGCATAACGGTGCATAAACACATAACCCAACCGAGATGTCTCAATAATATGACAGCACCATATTATAGCTTTGTGCAAAGCCGTCTGCACGTACACGCGACAGCGATGCATACCATCATGTTACATAGCACAAGCATCGCGACATGCCACAAAAAGCGTGTGCCTGACTGATCATGAATGCGTGCATGCATACAGGCGTATACATATCTACATCCGTTCCTTATAAGCATACACGTACATATGCATATGTACATGTTCATATACAACACATGCATACAAGCATACATGCCTGCATGCTTACGGCTTACGTACTTATATATACACACAAACACATGCATACATACCTACGTACATATGTATGCACATACATGCACACACACACACACAGACATACACATACATGTGCACATACCCTAAGCCCTGAACTCTGGCCCTAAACCCTCAGCACTAAACCCCTTCAGGTCTCGCTACTGGTGGTCGACCGGCCACGCAAGTGAGCGCCGCAAAAGCGCTGCTGTCCCGCTGATGGGATCGGCATGGGCAGAAACGCATTTAGGGCCCTTGCGAAGTCTAGCATTTACAGCTTGGGGGTTAGGGTTAAGATTCAAGCCTACGGATTTGAGATCTGACACTCAGCATGTCGGCTGCAGAATGACATGGGAATGACCATGCGAAGGTACCTTCAGGCCGGTATACACAGCTTCAGGGTTTCCGGCATCATTCAGCGTTTGCAGGTTTGTGATTTTCGGGTCCAGCTTGCCCTGGGGCTTCTTAGAGTTTAGGGAGTTTAGGGATTATCCTGTTGTGCGCTGTCTAACGCTTGGTCAGATAAGTTCTGGCAGCTCTGTGAGTATGCGGGAGCCTTAGAGAGTCCGAGACCCCTTTAAGAAACCCAGGATTCTGGCAATCAGCGTTGTTCATGGCTGTTACAACTGGTCCCGCTAAGTTGCTATGAGCCTTGCTGTGTTTAGCGCTGTCGCACTTGCCCCCAGCCCCCATTTGATTCTTCTGCTCAGCATCTCGCCTGCGAACCTTCTGTGTCACTGTCCTCAAGAGCCAGAGCGCTCTCTATGGGGACCTGAAGATTTTTAAGCGGTTGCAAAGCCTGGAACTGGACCCAACAATATGAAAGACTGTTGGACTGCGAGGTTTAGGGCCATTAGGGTTTGCCTCCGTGGCGTTGATGAAGGGCCTATGGTTTAGGGTCAAAAATCAGCTTGCCATGGTCCTAATGAGGGGTGGCGCCGCCCCAGCCTGCTCGTCGTGGCGAAGCTGATGTATATCGTGTAATATGGGGGCCCTCAATCATGTGAAAAGGGTTCATGGGTTTGGGGTCACGGTTTTAACAGGGGCCGGCATAATGAGACTAGGGTTTTGGGATACCTGCTAGCAATTACAGTCTCAATAAGGACGCCTATAAGGAACAATATTGACAATAGATTATTCAGGCTTCTAGGGCAACATGTTGTGCTCAGGGGATGTAAAGCTGAATGCACGGGCCGAGCATTCAGCGGTCTGGGGTTGAAGAGCTTTCAGACTCTTTGCGTAGCATCTCTGAGCTGGGCTCCGACAGCTTTGCTACAGCTCTTATTGCACGGGTCTTCTCCTGCATTCACATCCCGAGCTTGGCGAAAGTGGCGTTGCAAGCTTGTGCGGGCTCAAGTCATTATCGTTCAACTTCCGCAAGCCCTGACGCGAAACCTCGAGTCCGCAACCCTAGGCCCTAAACTCCAAATCAAAGGCCTTGCACCCTAAGCCCTGACCTCCAAATCCCAAGCCCAAAGCCCGAAACTCCAAATCCTATGCTTTCTTAGAGCCCCGACTTCGCACTACACATGGCAACCCGTAGGTGAAATGAGAGCGGTTTAGGGTTCAGGGTATGACGCATGGGGCTTAGAGTCCAGGTTTCGGGTTGGGGTTTCAGATATCGGGCTTAGGGTTTAATGGATGTGTGACTTGTGCTAAGAAGCACTACCTTCAACTGCCAAAACCTACTTTTTTGTAGGGTCCCAAGAAAATCACATTAGGGTTTATAATTATCCGACCCCATTCTTCGAGCTGAAAGGTTCTGAAGTTAGGGCAGGAACTAGTAGTTATCATGGACCTTCTTCCACAAACCCCGCTATTCCTACGGGTACAGGGTTTAGGGGTTTAGGGATTCGGGTTTCGGCTGTGAATAAGTATATGCAGCCCCCCCCAATACCGCATTCCATCCAACACCCCAAAAAGTTCGGAACTTAGACCTTCCGTCGACAGGCTTACATCAGTTCCCTTTAGATCACCCCCAAGCCCGAAGCTTTGAAATCCTAAGTCCTAAAGCAACTATGCGCTAAAGCAGTAGCAGCAAAATCCTGAACCATCAGACTCTTATCCTTTGAAGTTCAAAAAAAGCGGGGCCAGCACACGACCACTGGTTTTTGGGTTGGAGCCTGCACAGCCGGCCGGGCGAACCCGACACCGCCCATGCCGAGCCACCCTTAGCAGAAGATTGCCGTTGAAGCCTTCATAGGTCGTTTCAGGGTTCATTTTTGGCGTTTAGGGCATAGGCTCATTGGGGTCGATGATGTTGTTTCGGAATGTACTTTCAGGGGTTTCACAGGGCTCTAGGTTTATGCAAGAAGTGCGCACGGACCGGGTGAGATCTATGCAAGGACCTCTCTACAACAGTCTATCGGTGAACGTTCCAGCAGGTCGGTAACAAACTTGATCCCAGAGACTCCACACAATCTCAATTGAGGAAGATACCTTAAGCTTGATTTAAGAACCCCTCTATGATTTGAGGCAGAGTTTGGGGTCTGCGCGTGGCTGCTTATGGGGTTCTAGACGGCTTTTCAGGATCGTGGTCTTTACACTATGAGAGCAGCAGTCGTGAGCACACCCTGGGCCTGTCATAGATGCACCTCAACCCTAATATAGGCGCCTTAATAACTACCTATACTATCTTGGGAGTTCCTTACTATAGCTATAGTATCATCTACCCCCTCCCCCACCCAAAAAAAAAAAACTATGAGGGCCCCTCCATTAGCTATGTTACTCTGGCTTGGGACTTTTTATAGGGCTTCGGAGCCTGGCTCTGGGTAGAGTTTGATGCATGATGCTAGAACTAGCATCCTATCATATCCTATCCCAAGGCC